CTGACAAGAGCAACCCCCCAAACAACCCCCACCCTCCACCACAATGTCACTGGCCCAAAAGGCAAAAATAAATAAATAAAACAGTCAAAGTAACTGCTCTTGGTTGCGACTGAGAATCTGATCCAGAGAGAGGATCAAAGACTTATAATGAAGGATTTATAATACAGGATCTTGTGATTTATAATGAAAAAGTCATTTGACCTTCATTCCTTTTCTGGCATAGAATGAAAACATTTGGCATTTCCTCAGTCAGTGAAGAGAACCATGAAGGTATTCTTTGTTGCTTACAAGGTGACATTTGGAAAATCCCTTGGCAATCCAAGGATGGAGGCTGGTCACTGTAGTATCCAACTCAGTGATGAGAACGTTTGAATTTTCAGTACCATCCTCTCACCCCCAACCTCAGCCTGGTAGGGACAGGAGAGAATGGCTGGCAAGTGAATTCAAGCACTGAAGGCCAATCATGAGATCAATGATCCTATTCAACACACTTCCAGAACTACCTCTTCTCCATAAAATGTGACTGCCCCAGCCCAGTTCCTGCCATCAGAGAATCCACTCAGCACATCCTTTCCCCCAAGTCCAGGTCTCAAGTGACTAGCAGCCATGCCATGTGTCCACACCCTGGCTGCCAGGGAAATTGGGAAAGCGAGGTTCTGGGTTCTCCTCTGGGAAGCTACAGACTCAAGGTGGAGAATTCCCCAAGTAGAGATGAGACACAAAGTGGCCGGACTGAGGAACAATCGGAGCAGGAAAAGGAGGAAAGAACAGGGAGCAAAGCATGGCTTGTGGGTGGGGCGCTAGAGGAAGAAACACAAGTGTCAATGCTTCGGGTCTTACCTGAAACTAGAGTCCATCAAGATTCTGTCTCCACATGTTCCAGCACACATTTTCCTGACTTCTATGTCACTTTGAGTCCTATGCTGACCCTGGCATAGCTACTCTCCCAATGTTTGGCCAATCTATAGCCAATTGTTTTTCAAGATCAGTCATGAGAATGAAGCAATAGTACAGAGGGTCAAGTCTTTGCCTTGCATGCGGCCGATACAGTTTTGATCCCTAGCCTCCCATATGGTCCCCCAAACAACACCAGGATTAATTCCTGAGTGCAGAGCCAAGAATAAACCCTGAGCACTTCCGGGTGTGGCCCAAACATCCCCTATAAAAAAAAAAATAAGTCATGATATTTGACCAATATGTGTCCAATTATTCTCCAAGGATCAATCAAGATACTGCATATGCTGTTCTTCCATGTGTGTGACCCTGACCCCTCTTCCCCGTTGAGGTGGGATCTATACTGGGGTCAAAACCCTTCAAGAATTGAGCTCCCATTTGACCCAGCAATACCACTCCTGGGAATATATCCCAGAGAGGCAAAAATGTATAGTCGAAGTGACATCTGCACTTGTTTGTTCATTGCAGCACTCTTTACAATAGCCAGAAACTGGAAGAAACCTGAATGCCCAAGAACAGATGACTGGTTAAAGAAACTTTGGTACATCTACACAATGGAGTACTATGTAGCTCTTAGAAAAGATGAAGTCATGAAATTTACATGCAAGTGGTACAATATGGAAAGTATCATGCTAAGCGAAATGAGTCAGAAAGAGAGGGATAGACATAGAAAGATTGCATTCATCTGGGGGATATAAAGTAACAAAGTATGAGATTAATACCCAAGAATAGCTGAGATCAGCACCAGGAGGATTACTCCATAACTTAGAGGCCAGCCGGGTATCCTAGAGGAAAGGGCAGTTCAGATAGAGAAGGGAGCACCAAATAAAGGATGTTTGGAGGATCCTCCCAGGAGGGGAGATGCATGTCGAAAGTAGACTATGGACTGAACATGTTTGCCACTCAATGCCTCTTTTGCAGACCACAACACCCAAAAGGAGAGAGAGAACACAGGGGATTGCCCTGCCACAGAGACAGGGGGGATGGGGGGATGGGGGTGGGAGGGATATTATCCATGGTGGTGGAAAATGGGCACTGGTGGAGGGATGGGTATCTGATCATTGTATAATTGAAACCAAAGCACAAAAAATTGTAAATCTACAACTTTAAAATAAAATAAAATAAAATAAAGGGGAAAAAAAAACCCTTCAAGAACTCACTGCAATGGCATCACATCAGTGGAGCTGCATCACAGCTCTGAAGGTGTGGCTGGATTCTCATGCAGCTGTCATAGCTCTGAATCGAGTTATAACCAGGGTCAGAAGAGTTTTCTTAAAGAGCTGGAGCATATACTTTGCTCCAGGAGCCCCAGGTTTAATCCCGGGCATTGCAGAGAGGGAAGAGATTCCTCAGCCGAAATGACACATGGAGAGACTATAAGATGTTAGAGGGGTTAAGGCACTAACCTTGCAGGTGACCAACCCTGAGCACTGCCAAGAGAAATTTCTGAGGGACCAGAGAAGAAATGTATCAGGTAAGGCACTGACCTTGCACACAGCTGACTCAGGTTCAATCCCTGGCACCATACATGGTCCCTTGAGCACCACTAGGAGTGATCCCTGACCAGAATTCAGAGTAAGAGCCCTTCTTTTGTTTGTTGTTGTTTTTGCACAATATATTTTTTTATTAGTGAAACACCACGAGGTACAGTTATAGACTTACAAATTTTTGTGCTTGGGTTTCAGTTATACAATGATCAAGTGCCCGTTCCTCCACCAGCGCCCATCCTCCACCACCACAGGTCTCAGCATCCCTCTCACCCCCCATCCCCCTCAGTAAGAGCCCTTCTTAATGGTTCCAGATGAAATGCAATAATCTTCACACACTTTCCTCTAAGGAAAATGTATTGGACCATTTTTAGCAGAATATTCATAACAGGCAATACAAAATTAATTGTTTTGGTTCTGCTTTGGTTGGCATGGTTTGGAATTTGGGGTGGAAACATCCAAAATATGGTGGTGTGAAGATGCAATGGCGGCGGGGTTGGTGTTCGAATATTAAATATAATGAATTATTGTGAACAACTTTCACTTGTCACTTGTCATCCTGTTGTTCATCGATTTGCTCCAGCGGGTGCCAGTAACGTCTCCATTAGTCCCTGTCGCGTGATAGTGTAGCCCAATGGCATACTCAGGGCTCTTTCATGGTCAGGGGAATGAGACCCATCATTGTTACTGTTTTTGACATATTGAATATGTCACGGGTAGCTTGCCAGGCTCCGCTGTACGGGCAAAATACTCTCAGTAGCTTGCCGAACTCTCGGAGAGGGATGGAGATTTTTGTGACCTCCAGGAACAACTACATAAAAATAAACTTTATAAAAATGAAATAAAATTTTAAAAAAGAAGAAGAACCCTAAACACTGCTGGGTGTGGCCCTAAAACCAAAAAAAGATAAAAGAAAAGAAAGAAAGACATGCCACGCAGAACTCTTAGGTCTGGAGAGCCAAACAGTACTGCATCTCCAGCACTTTTCCTGCTGAGGAGCCTGGTCTCAGGAGTCCTGCGGCAGTGTGGCTGCCCAAATCTGCCCTAGTGGAGGACCACAGGGAGAGAGAGCCCCTCCTACCAGAGCCCGTGCAGGATCAGCTCCCAGGTATCTCCCACCAGGTGGCAGAGATGGATTGGGCAGGGTGACCCTAGATGATAGCAGATAGCAGTCCCCAGACACAGTACTGTCAATGTTCCCACCACAGTCTGTAAGGTAAGGTCACCAGGGAGGGAAGCAATAGGACAGCAGGGAGGGCAACTGCCTTGCACACGGCCCACCCAGATTTAATCCCCAACTTCCCATATGGTCCCCTAAACACTGCCAGGAGTAATCCCTGAGCACAGAGTCAGGAGTGAGCCCTGAACACCACTGGGTATGCAAAAAAAAAAAAAAATCCAAGATCACAAACTAAATCAATGTAGTGAATGTGTCTAGTCAATAAGCTTTTTTTGGGGGGGGGAACCCAGCAATGTTCAGTGGTTATTCCTGGTTCTTCACTTAGGAATTACTCCTGGCAATGCTCAGGGGACCATATGGGATGCTGGAGATCGAACTCAGGATGGCTGCATGCAAGGCAAATGCCCTATCTGCTGTACGATAGCTCAGGCCCCAAGTCTGTAAGCTTTGGGGAAGTTGGGCCTATATCCTTGGCCCTGCCTTCTGACTCTGCAGGTAAGGCATCGTAAGGATCACTCCTAGTGGTGCTCAAGGGACCATGTATGGTGCCAGGGATTGAACCTGAGTCAGCTGTGTGCAAGGTCAGCGCCTTACATATGCAAGAAAAAATATCTCCTCCCCTTGCTTCTGAGTCTTTTCTCAGCATCTTGGACCCCTGCTTGAGCTAGCCTGCTGGAGGACAGTCCCCACCCCATCACACAGCCAAGTCCCCAAGCAACTTGGAACTGACCACAGCGACATACAAGAAAACAAGACTGGGACTGGAGCGATAGCATAGCGAGTAGGGCATTTGCCTTGCATACAGCTAACCTGGGTTCGATCCCCAGCATCCCATATGGTCCCCCAAATACCACCAGGAATAATTCCTGAATGCAGAGCCAGGAGTATTCCCTGTGCATTGCTGGATGTGATCAAAAAAAGCAAAAGAAGAAAAAAGAAAACAGGACTGTCTAAAGATGCCTGTCTAAATTACCCACTGCCACATCCAAGATCTTATGCAATTATTTCGGGCCACAACTGCTAATAAATTTATAGGAATGCTAACCAACTCTTTTTAAAATATGTTTCGTTGACTGTCTCTTCAACCCCACTCTTAAGCCCCAAGAACCAAGAGTTCAGAGTCCTCATTTAATTTGCAGTAGAAAGACTTTATTCAAAGATCAAGATTGACAGGGAGCAGGATCAACCCCAAACCAGATCACAGAAGAGAGGTGTCTCCCCACCTTCCCAGGTGAGTAGGTCAAAGGCAGCCAGAGCACTTGGCACAGCCAGGCCCCCTTCAGGGACTCAGGAGCTCCCCACCAGCAGACAGATGTCATATGGGGTCTGTCCATCAGGAGGGTGCTCAGCCGGGGGAGCGCCGGGGAGTGCGGAGGGGCTTAATACCGCATGAAGTAGCCTGTGGGGAGAAGGAAGGGTGGTGAAAGAGAGACAGTGCGGAGATGAGCAGGATGCAGGGGCACCTGAACGGGGAGAAAGCTGGGGGCACTGGAACTAGACAGCTGCAGACCTTGGGTCCACCTGGCTCCCCTCCGATTCCTAAAGGTCTCCGGCAGCCCTGGGAGATGTCCTCCCGTTTCAGAGGACCCTGGCTCCTGAGCTCCTCCCTCCTCCCCTTGACAGTTTCATCAGCAAATTCTTTGGCTGCTGTTACCCCTCTTTGGCCCAGCTGTTACTGACACACAGAAGCACACCTGCAGAGAGCAGAGGCCAGCTCTCCAGGCTGCTCCAGGCGCGGTGCTCCAGCCCAGTCACCAGCTCCGCCTCTGCTTCCTGTTACCCATTTTATTTGACTAAAATCAGCATGCACAAGAGGAAGATCTCTCTGACCAAGAGTACCTGCCCTACCTGAATCATTCTGTCCCTTTAGGTAATGACATCTCGTAACTGGTGCATGCCAGGGGAACAGACCCACTGACCATGACTCCTGAACCACTTCCACCTGACCTGCTGTTGATCTGGGTTTCCCTTCTCAGGTGGTCAGCAGGACTGGCCGTGGCACCCTGCTGAGCCCCTCAGTTATGCTTTGTACCACCTGGAATCAATTCTTGACCTTCTCCCAGACTCATTTTCCTGATCTCTGAAATGAAGATACTAGCAAAATCCACCTCATAAAGTATGGTGGAGCTACACAAGATAAGGCACTATTTGCAACCTCCTCCTATGCTCTTGCTACTCAGGTCGTGTAGAAATTTGGTCCTAGCCTCACAGAAGGCTCTGGAAATAATAATGATCCATTTAGGACCCACAGTTCATCCATGATACCTCCATTAAATCTAGTTCTTTTCAGAATCTGTAGTACTCAGAGACCCAGAGATACTCAGAAACAGGTAGCACCCTGACAGATAACACCCGTGCCCCGCCCCACAACCTAGAGTTGTTGCTTACCTTGTGCATCATCACAGTTGCCAGATTTCGAGGAAGAGGACTGGGACTGGGATGGTTTTCTACTTTCTCCTCCACAGCTACTACTTCCTCCTCCGGATCCACTTCCTCCTCTGGATCCACTTCCTCCTTCACAGCCACCACTACTTCCTCCTCTGGATCCACTTCCTCCACTATGGCCACCACTGCTTCCTCCCCCATAACTACCTCCACTTCCTCCGCCATGGCCACCACTGCTTCCTCCCCCATAGCTGCCTCCACTTCCTCCTCTTGATCCACTTCCTCCGCCGTGGCCACCACTGCTTCCTCCCCCATAGCTGCCTCCACTTCCTCCTCTTGATCCACTTCCTCCACCATGGCCTCCACTGCTTCCTCCCCCATAGCTGCCTCCACTTCCTCCTCTTGATCCACTTCCTCCACCATGGCCTCCACTGCTTCCTCCACCATAGCTGCCTCCAGAGCTACTTCCTCCACTTCCACCTTGAGATCCACTTCCTTTCCCGCCTCCAAAGCCCTTTTGTTCAGCGCCACAAGAATCACTGAGGAGGAAAGAAAACAGAGAAAATGAGTGTTCCCCACCTATCTGCACAGTCAAGACCTAAACATGAGTCTTTCTCAGTTGTCTCACACACAGAGTGGAGGACAGAGGCAGGATGGCTCCCCCCACAGCTCCAAGAGAGAGCATCTTCTCCCAGCAACCGGGACTAGTCCCTGAATGCCACCCTCCTTTATGTTGGCCTGACCCCTTGGTCCCTTATAGGATGAGGAATCCTCAAGAGGTCCTTGTGCACAGGAACTTTCCCCACTGCCTCGGTCCCAGGACCGGAAGTGACATCAGGGGCTAGGCATTCCCAGAGATGCCACCGAGTCCTGGCACTTACAAGTCCTCCTGGCCACCCTGCAGGAGACTGCGGTAGGTCTCAATCTCCTGCTCCAGCCGCGTCTTGATGCAGAGCAGAAGGCTGTACTCCTGATTCTGGCACTCTGTCTCTGCCCGGATCTCAGTCAGCTGCCCCTCCAGGCTGCTGATCTGGTCCTGGATCTGCTGCAGCTGCACGCAGTAGCGGTGCTTTGTGTCTTCCAAGGTCTTCTCCAGGGCGGATTTCTAGGGGCAGAAGAGGCTCTCAGTGGGTGTGTGCGGGGTGGCATTCCCCCTTCCCTCACCCCAAAGCCTGCCAAGCCTTCCATGCCATGCCCGGGCAGAGGGTCTAGAGCAGAACCACCAACCATGCTCAGCTGGGACTGCAGCTCGATCTCCAACGCCTGCACACTTTGCCGGAGCTGGGTCAGCTCCTTGGTGCTGCACTCCTTCTCCTCACCGCTGTTCTTCACCTGTTGCTCGATCTGCGCCATCTGCAACACCAGAAGCTCAATGAGAACCAGCCTGGACTGTGGCTGCCACAGCAAGGCTCTGCCCCCACTCATGGCACCCACACTCCCAGGTCAAAACTGGATCAAAGCCCAGGACTCTACCATCAGGATCCCCCAAACTAACATTTCCTCTTGGCGAGATCCTTCACACCTTGTCCCTAAATCACCTTTCTAAACTTGTTTTTTTAAGTTCGTTTGTCTGTTTAGGGGTCACACTCAGCAGTGCTAGGGGTGACTACTCCCAGTTCTGTGCTTGTGAGGGAAGGTGCTAGAGGTGGCTCCCAAGGGACCATAGCAGTGCTAGAGGTCCAATCTGGTCCTTCTGCATGCAGAGCAAGTGCTCAATCCATTGAGCCATCTCTCTGGCCCTATAACCTTATTTTACATGACCACAGACACATACACATTCTCACATGCAGCCCCTGCCCTCTTTTGGGAGGCTCTAAGCCAAGGACTGGAGACCTGGCCAGATGGGGGAAGAGGGGGCGGAACACAGCATATAGTTCACGCAGATTGAGGGCCTTGCAGTTGACCCCTGCTAGAACCTGGCTGCTCGGGGCCCTGAATTTTCATGCTCAGCCACCATTCACAGGTTTGTATGGCCCAAAGGTTCTCCAGCAACCTTCTGTGGCCTGTGTCTGGGATCTCAGCTCTGCACACACAGCCAGGCACCAGGAAGCACCCATCATTCTGTCTACATGCCAAGAAATGGACAGAAGATGAGTGACAGAGGTGCCAGAGCGATAGTACAATGGGGAGCGCATTTGCCTTGCACTCAGCCAACCCAAACACGATTCCCAGCATCCCATATGGTCCCTTGAGAACCACCAGGGGTAATTCCTGAGCACAGAGCCAGGAGTAATCCATGAGCATTGCCAGGTGTGCCCCCCCACACACACACAAAGAAAGGTGAATGACAAGGAGCTAGATGGTGGAGGGGGATGGTGGAGGGGGATCATAGAGGGGGGAGAAAGAGGAGGGCAGGGGGCCATAGGCAGCCCAGCATCCCACTCTGCTCACCTCAGATTCATATCTTTGCTCGATATCCTTGCGGTTCTGAGCACTGAGCTGCTCATACTCCTGGCGCATGTCGTTGAGGATCTTGGTGAGGTCTCTGCTGGGTGCCGCATTCATCTCCACACAGACATCACCAGTGGTCTGGCCTGTCAGCTGGCTCATCTCCTTCCAGGGAGGAAGGAATCAAGAGGTGAGGCGACTGGAGCTGCCGGCGCCCTCACTGCCCTCCCCCTGCGCTGTAACCAGGGACTGAGTTTGGAAACAGAACCCAGCCCCTCCATGAGCAGCACTGAGCAGCAGCTGGGAGTGTCCACGAGCACAAGGGACCAGGGGTCTCCCAGGCAGTGCACCCAGCTCACTCCACATACACCCTCCCCACTATCTCTGCACTGCCACTCCCCGATCGTCCCCCTCGCCAGAAGCATCAGGGTCCTACTTCCTCATGGTTCTCCTTGAGGGCCTTCTTCTCCTCCTCCAGAGACTCCAATTGCAGCTCCAGGTCAGTCTTCTGCATGGTCAGGTCGTCCAGCACCCTGCGCAGGCCATTGATGTCTGCCTCCACACTCTGGCGCATGCCCTGTTCCATCTCAAACCTACAAAGCAGCCAGGGGGAGGGAATGAGCAAGAAGATGCCGGCCCCTGAAGGGACCCTCATTGAGTACCAAGGGGTGAAGGAAAAGGCTGATGACAGGAAAGGTAGTGGCAGCAGAGCTCACTTCATCCTGAAGTCATCCATGGTCATGCGAGTATTGTCCAAGTCCAGGAGGGTTTTGTTGTTGTCTACCGTGAGGCACACAATCTAAAAAGAGATGCACCAGCATGGAACACAGGCTCCCCTCCTAGGACTACGGTTCAGAGGGCAAGAGGCTAGACAAAGCCACAGAAGAAGAGGAACCCATCCAGGAAGATGCTCAAGCTGTGGGAGGTGCTTCCGACATCTGGTATAGGGCACCCAGCCCTCGCTTCCATCCACAGGGTGCTGAGTATGGCTTTTAGTCACTCACTTAGGATGGATCTGAAGACATGACCAAGAATTTCATGGGGATTCAAGATCAATAAGACACAACTCCTTGAGGGATCTACTCATTGGCTACGATGTTCAGAGTATGCTAGTTCAAGGGAAAAGAGAGGGCTTGTGGCTATGGAGAAGTCCAGAAAGAGTTCAGGCAGGAGGTGGTCCTTGAAATGGTCACTTCCTAAAAGATGGCTAAGGTCACACATGATTGAATAAGTGGAAGATATTTGAGGTGGAATAAATAGGACATTCAGAGGCAGCGATGATGTGAAGGTGAAAGCAGCAAGTGGCTAGACTATGAATCGCTTGAGGAGCAGAGGCTACGTCTGGAACAACATTTTGCCTGCAAAACTGATGGGTTGTTATTCACTAAACCAGATAGATGGTTAAATGGATAGATGTGAATGTGGGTGGATGGATGGATGGATGGATGGATGGATGGATGGATGGATGGATGGATGGGAAGAGGGGGAAGGAAGGAAGGAAGGAAGGAAGGAAGGAAGGAAGGAAGGAAGGAAGGATAGATGAATGGTGGTTGAATAGACAGATGATGGGTGAATGGGAATAGGAAGGAAGAAAGGAAAAAGGAATGATGGAAGGAGAGAATGAAATGAAAGACAGATGGATAGATGAACGGACAGATGGATGATGGATTATAGATGGGTGGAAAGGTAGGTGGATTAATGGGTGGGTGGATGAATGGTAAGGTAGATGAATAGAAAAGTGGATGCATGGATGGGTGGATGGATGGTGCGTGGATGGGTATGTGAATAGAAGATAAATACATAGGTGGAAGAATTGATGGGTAGATGCCATTCATCCCTGGAGTTAGATCATTTTCATGACTTAAAGAAGAAGCTTATATATATGGGTTCAAGAAGACTGAAAAACGCAGGTCAGGCTCTATAAGAGCCTAGGAGGAGCAGGAAGGAAAAGATAGGATTTCTGCTCAAACCAAAAGGAATGAAACTCCAAGGGAGTGAGAAGAGAGACAAGCTCCCTCTCCCAAATCAGGACAACATGCTTTGGGCAGAAGCACTCACACTCTTCTCTCATGGCATTATATAAGTTTTAAACCAGCTGGAATTGAGAGGTGGTCTTCCCACCCTCTGCATTAGATGAGGAGAAGACTAGGACCCAGGGAGAGCACAGGTTCCCCATGGCCACACAATCAATTGGTGGCAGACCTAGAACCCACAATCAATTGGTGGCACCTCTGGGTTCCAGGAAAGGGTTCTCATTGCTCCCTCCACTCTGTGATCACACCCCAATCTAGACCCAGGCTATAAAGGGGCCCCCACATCCAGCCCGGGGCTTGCCATGTGGATCCTCTTCCTGACTCTGCCCAACCTCTGAGATCTGGGGGTCAGATGTTCAGAGCCCAGAGCCCAGACCAAAGTCTCAGCAGGTGCCACACTCAAGTGTGTTTCTAACACAAATTGAGTTTGCAAAAGATGGATTCCCTGACTTTTCTCTGAGCTTGGAGAGTAACATCTAAACTGAGAGGGTGATGGAGACAGCTTGGCACCCCACATACCTGCTTCTTGAGATCCTCGATGGTGTCGTAGTAGGAGGAGTAGTCCTTCCGACAGGTCTTGGACTCCTGCTTCTCATACCAGGCCCGGATCTTACTCTCCAGGTCGGCATTGGCCTCCTCCAATGCCTGCACCTTTTCCAAGTAGGTGGCCAGCCTGGAATTGAGGCCCTGCATCGTGGACTTCTCATCAGCGCCAAGAATACTTCCATCACCGCCTCCTACCCCACCACCGAAGCCACTTCCAAACCCGCCTCCAGAGCCCCCAAAGCCTCCTCCAGAGCCCCCAAAGCCTCCTCCAGAGCCCCCAAAGCCTCCTCCAGACCCACCCCCAAAGCCTCCTCCAGACCCACCCCCAAAGCCACCCCCACAGCTCCCAGAACTCCCAAAGCCTCCTCCAGACCCACCGCCACCAAATCCTCTGGAACCTCCACCAAAGCTTCCGCAAAAACTACCGCCGCTCATTCCCCCACCAGACCCTCCACCACAGCTGGACCGGTAACTGCCACCCCCACCCCGGCCACAAGCCCCCGAAGTCCCCGAGGAGCTGAAGCGGCTGCAGGAAGAGCGTGAGCTGCTCCCGCCCGCCCCGCAACTGCTGATGCTGTAGTAGGAAGATTGTCCGCAGCTCATGGTCCTGACGATGGGTTCCTGCAAGTGAGGAAAACGGTAGGAGAGTAGCAGCTGGTTCCCTCGTCTGTGGCTGTCCCTCAGGCTGCCTACTTATAACCCTCATGGAAGGTGGCACGCCTGGGTGTGCCCTCTGCGCCAGCCTCCCTCCATGGCGTTCTGGGACAAGGAGGCGGCTAGCTGTCGCAGGCTCCGCGTCCTTTGGTGACTGCCTGGAGGTGGCCCAACCTCTCTCCATTGTGTGGGGTAATTTAATGATATTAGGCTGTCAGGGGCCCATAAATCATTACTACCCCCAAGGGGCTGACCCAGATCCTGCAGTTTATCTCTGGCTGCTCTGCCAGCATATCTGAGACTGAGCCCCTCTGGGATTGACTCCCAGGACTGGAGTGATTCTCTCCCCCCCCCCCCACACACACACACACCAGAATGGCGACTGCCCTCTTTGTGCCCACTGTGAGTTGAGCTGGGGCTAGGGCAGCAGGAGTCATTAGAATGGCTGGTGGGGGAGACACAGCCCTGACCCACAGGTAACCCCAATTGGATGAAGAGTCTGGTCCTTCTTCCTGAGGATCTCTGAGGCTCCTGGGGGAGAATATGCCCTCCAAACTCTCCAGTCTGATGGAGGATATTTCTGTTGGATGGAGGAGATGAATGGATTGCCAGAAAATCTTAACCGGTTACAAAGCAGCTTGTAGAAAACAGCAGTCAGAGGTCTCGGTGGGGGGTGGGCTGGGTAGATAAAGAGGGGCTGCTGCTGGCTGAACTCCGAAGAGGAAACATGCAGCCTCATTACTTTCCAGCAGCAGGTGTAGACATGACCTTGGCTGGGTCTGAGCCCAAGAGGGACAAAGAGACTCTTCTGTGTCCTCCAGAATGAGCAAACCCCTAGTTCCAGGGAGAAAATTTCATGACATCCACCAAGGCTGGAGGGGGAAGAAGATGGTGGGCTCAGGCCAGGCCACTGAGCTATGCCCCAGCTCTGCTCTCTGGCCACTGAGGCACCAGATCCCTCCTCTGGTGGGGACCCACCGTGTTCTCACCGTGTTCTCATTCTACTCTCCCCTAGGTTGACACCTGTGAAGGACACTCAGAAAACATTAGTCAGCCTCTGGGTGTCCCCCAGCCTGAGTCCAGCCACTGCTCAGTGCTCCCCTCTCTGCATAAGGGCCCAAAGAAAGGGGACCCATGTCTGACCACATAACTCTCTAATTTTTTTTCACTTATTTTATTTTATTTTATTTTTGCTTTTTTGGTCACACCCGGTAATGCACAGGGGTTACTCCTGGATTTGCACTCAAGAATTACTCCTGATGGTGCTTGGGGGACCATATGGGATGCTGGGAATCGAACCCGGGTCAGCCATGTGCAAGGCAAACATCCTACCCGCTGTACTATTGCTCCAGCCCCTTACTCTCTAATTTTACCCCAAGAAAGGAGTCACTTTCCCAGCATTCACGGCCCATGCAGACTTTTCCATTCTGACCCCCATCTCCTGCCATTCTCTAGTACCCCCCTCCTCTAACTCAGACAAATCTTGCTCCAATCACCTTCCCACCTAGATAACACTCATTGCTCCCAGATTCCATCAACCCAAAGGTCCCTCCCAGTCTTTCTTACCAGAAAACTCCTACTGGCCTTTGAGAACATGTCCATGAAACTTCTCCAGGAAGTCTTCCTAGTTTCTCCCTCTAGGGCTGCTTTGCTCTGATAGTTTCTCATGTTGTCTCTCTACATCTCCAATCACCATCCTGTGTCCACAGAAGAACCCAGCTGCCCCTATGCCTGCTCAGTGGGTTCTTGCCCATAGCCCAACAGCAAGTCAGGGATGAAGGAACACTAAGCAGCCATTCCAGAGAGATACTAAAAACTGAAGGAGAAAGAAAGCAAGAAGCCAGGACCTCTGAGCTAAAGGGCTTTGGAGCTTCCTACAAGATGCTCTGAGATGTGTCTCAAGGAAAATTTGATAATCCAGAATTACTTGGCAAAGATAGTTCTGCTTTCCTCTAACTATCAATCTTCTGATTAGGCAAGGAGAAAGTCTCGGCTGCACCACCACCCCCCCCCCGGCCCGAATGCCCCCTGAACATAGCCTCCTGAATAAACATCCATGTTTGAAATCGCCTGGTTAATGGAACCTAATGGAAGTTGGTCCCCAGCTTCATGTCTGTAGGAAGCAATGATTTCTTGTGAAGAGTTTATTCACAGAGCTGCACCTCTGGCCTCTGCCATGTGAATGACCCAGCTTCACGACTAATCTCAGAAGAGACACCAAGACAATGGAAGTCATAGGTATACTGGTTTTTGAGCTGAAAACTCTGTGGTTTCCTCAGAAGGGGGCAGGGAGTGGGCAGGGCGAGCTGAGAATAGTCCCACCTCTACAGATCCTGGAGCTCCTGAAGTGCATGGCCACATATGCGGCCACATGACACCTCCAAATTCCACAGTACTGATAGACCAGTAGGAGCACAGCAAATTAAATGGGAAATATCATAGAAGCCCACTAAGCTCTATAAACAAAAGTGATAACACTGAAGGCTCAACTAGCAACAAACAATTCAGTAAACTCTCAGAAAATGACTTTAGTAGCACCATTGTGAGATATAACAATTTTCACAAATTTTCTTTTATTGAATTTTTCTAATGATTTCAATTACCATTTTTTGTAACAAATAAATATAAAATACATTATTTTGTGCCTGCTAAGGGGGAAAGCTGGGGACAGTGGTGAGGGGAAGGTAACACTGGTATTGCATTTGGTTCTAATACATTAAATACCCAAAACAACTGTATTATGAACAACTTTGTAAACCATGGTGTTTAAATAAAGTTGAGGGGGAAGAGTTTATTCACAGGCCAGAAAGAGAGTACAGCAGGTAAAGCACTCACTCGCCTTGATGTAGTTAACCCAAGTTCGATCCCTAATACTCCAGATGGTCCCCTGAGCCCTGCCAGGAATGATTCCTGATCTCAGAGCCAGGAGTATACCCTGAACACTATCCAGTGTGGCCCAACAACAAACAAAATTTAGTTTATTCACAATATTCTCTTTGCCATCTGACAGGTAATTCTGAAGTTCACCCTTGGATGAAGAGTTACAGAGTCATGGGATTTCCTTCAGGAAGATATCTCTGTTGAAATGAAAGGCAAGCTGACCTAGAAAAAGGAGTTTCATAAGTGTCTGAACAGGAAGTACAAAGCATAGGGAGTGAAAAAAGTCAATGAGCAGATCAGAGAGATCTGGAAGACCTTCCGTGAGCATGGAAGGGGCGACTCAGATGGGTGACCGTGGCCTTTCCTCAGGCTGTCGCCCAGCTCTGCTAGTTCCATTTCCCCAAATACCAGGAGGGGTCCCCACCCCAGCTGCACCCACTCTGCTGCCCTCCCCCTGCCCATGTCCGTATGTCCCCTGGGTCCAGAGTAAACCGGGGGAGGAGAGGTCAGACAGAAATGGGGTGAGGACAGAGCTGACCAAGCACTGCCTTGGGCCCAGCCCCTGCCCTCTCTGCAAATGCATTCACCCAAGGATCCAGGCCTGGCACCAGCCCAGCGGTCATTTCTGCACTCCTGAATTCCCACCCAGCAGCCCTGGGCCAACTGAGCCCCTCCCAGGCATCCCCTCACTCTGCTCAGCACCAAGCAGCAGCTCACCTGCTGGGTCTCCCTGAGGGCTGGGCTGGCCCCTTCCCACACCCACCAACTGCCTGTGAAACCTGGCTCTTCCCCCACTGATTCTCCACCTCCGCCCAGACAATCCCTGGTCTCTACCAGCAACCCGTCTCTTAGAGTTGGGGGTCCAGGGCCTTTCTCCCACACCCGCCTACACTCTGGCTCCAGAGTTCCAGGTCATCCCTACTCAGCACCTCTCAGCCCTCCACCGCCTGCACAGGGGTCAGTGAAGGGCAGCGGAGTGGAGAGAAAAGGGAAGTGGGCTGCACTTCTTGCACCCCCTCACCCTTGGGTCCCATGCCTTGGTTTCCTCCTGAGAAGTCCCTTCAGAATCATCGGAGACAGAAAGACAGTGGGTGGGTAAGGCCATGTGTGCAGGGGCCTGGAGGGTTGAAGCCCACCTACCTCACCTGCATCAGGCTCCCCTGGGCTGCCTCTGCTCCCAGCATGGGTGCGTGAGTGGAAGTACATGTGGGGCTGATTCTATGTCCCAAAGACAGCATGGGGGGGGGGGGCTGGAGCAATAGCACAGCTGGTAGGGCATTTGCCTTGCACACGGGAAACCCAGGTTCTATTCCCAGCATCCTATATGGTCCCCTGAGCACTGCCAGGGGTAATTCCTGAGTGCAGAGCCAGGAGTGACCCCTGTGCATCACCGGGTGTGACCCAAAAACCAAACTCCCCCCCCCCAAAAAAAATGACAGTATGAGGGACCTTGGCAAAGTCACTCCCCCAGGTACCTCCCTCCCCTCTCCACATCTGGACCAAGGAATCAGCAGGTTAGGGTGAGTTCAGGGTGGGGCTAGGGGGCTAACATGCCCCTGAGAATCGGCACTCCCCTGGAGTATCTCTGAGCCCCCGCTCACCAGAGGCCATGAGCATGGATATGCAGCTCAGGCCCCCCACCCTGTACCCCGTTATCCCCCGGAAACTCTGCTGCCTCTCCCTCTACAGTTGGTGCAGACAGGGTGGGGGAGAGAGGGATGCAAGGGCTTAGACAGAGGAAGTAGGAGGGAAGCAGAGAGTTGGCCTGAGAGGGGTCCCTGGAGGGTGGGATTAGGGACATGGTCAATCTTCCCCAGCCAGGAAGCCCCACAGCCTGTAAGTGGCTGCTCTCCGCCCAGTGCTGACATGGAGCCCCAGGCAGCCAGAAGCACCTGACTCAG